TTGAGATGAAGTCTTGCTCTGTCATCCAGGCTGGAGTGCAGTGGTGCACACTTGGCTCCCTGCAACCTCCGCCTTCCAGATTCGTGTGATTCTCCTGCCACCCAATGAGCTGGGATGATCGGCGTGTACCACCACCACGTCTGGCTGGAATTTTTGTTTTCTAACTTGCCTTCTGGAACCCCCTAATGAGTTCAGCTGTTTGGGGAACTGACTATATGGAGCCTGAAAAGAGATGAGTGTCTGTGTAGACCTGAGTTCTAACAATTCGAAGAGTGAACGTGGGACATTGTCCTCTGGATTAGGAGTCGGGAGCCTGCCTCACCGAGCTGGAGTGTGTGCCCATGACTGCAGGTGGGAGCCACATTGTCCCTCTAGGTGTCAACACCTGAGGATAGAAGTGGCTAAGCTGGGCACCCAATGCGGTTTTGGGGCCAGACCCTTTTGGAGAGGCAGGGGTGCCCTTCCTGTCAGGTGAATCTTTTCGAGTACTGCCTTTGGTCGTTGGAGATACAGCCCCTAGGTTATACTTTATACTGGCGGGATTGTGTTTGACCTGCCCTATGTGTTGACCTTATCATATGTGGACAGTTGTCTTGTCTGGGAATATTTCACTCTGTCCCTCTGCACTCAGATTCACAGCCATGAGGCCCCTCCTCCCAAGGCCCCGGAGTGTGGCACTGCCGGCCGTCACAGCTACAGTGCTTTCCATTGTGTACTCAGAGTGCAGTGACATGCACGTCCTCCTCAGGGCTGCAGTGGGAACAGGCTGGAGTGCTCTGTGGTACCATGTGGGGAGTGCTGCCCTGGTGGTCCAGGGACTTGCGGTGGCTGTAGTGGGAAAAGCCACATAAGCAGAACAGGAGGTGTGAGCAGTGTCCCCTGGGAGGAGAGGACAGTGAATGCAGAGGCTGGGAGGCTGGAGGGAGGTTGGGGGCTTGAGCAGGGCTGCGCCAGCACCATGGACCTCACAGGGGCCCTGGGCCACACACCTGCCCTTGGCCAAGGGCATTTCTCCTCAGTGGTTTGAAATCTCAAACCACATTGACGAACCTGCCAAAAATCGAAACCAGAATGAAGAAACTAAGTTGCAAGTGGAAGATTTTACTTTAAAATCAGAACGTGGCCGGGCATGGTAGCTCAAGCCTGTAATCCCAGCACTTTGGGAGGCCGAGGCGGGTGGATCACGAGGTCAAGAGATCGAGACCATCCTGGTCAACATGGTGAAACCCCATCTCTACTAAAAATACAAAAAATTAGCTGGGCATGGTGGTGCGTGCCTGAAATCCCAGCTACTCAGGAGGCTGAGGCAGGAGAATTGCCTAAACCCAGGAGGCGGAGGTTGCGGTGAGCCGAGATCGAGCCATTGCACTCCAGCCTGGATAACAAGAGTAAAACTCCGTCTCAAAAAAAAAAAACAAATCAGAACATGCAGAAGTGTTTGCTGTGGGCTCCCGGCTAGGTTTGGCCTTGTGGGGCTGTGCATTGCCTGTTAGTACCTTCTTTCCTGGGTTCTTTATAGCAGTTGGCAGTTGGTGGCTGAGGCATTTGGTGCACTCTCTGCAAGTGTCAAGGCCGCATGTATGTCGGGGGCACCCCCCCTTGGTATGCTTTGTAATGACTCTGTTGGAACCACACAGTCTCAGCAGGCAGGCTGCAGAAGTGCACCCCGCCGGCCATCCGCCTACCAGCAGGAGTGATAGGGCAGATGCTGCTATGCTAAAGACCATGTGGGCCCGGTGCGGTGGCTCATGCCTGTAATCCCAACACTTTGGGAGGCCAAGGCAGGCGAATCACTTGAACCCAGGAGTTCCAGACCAGCCTGGCCAACATGGCAATATCCTGTTTCTACTAAAAATACAAAAATTAGCCAGGCATGGTGGCGGGTGCCTGTAGTCCCAGCTACTTGGGAGGTGGAGGTTGCAATGAGCCAAGATCATACCATTGCACTCCAGCCTGTGTGACAGAGTGAGACTCTATCTCAAAAAAAAAAAAAAAAAAGAAAGAAAATGCAGTTCTTATCTTATCTCATTGTTGATAAAGTTTTGTTGGCATGCAGCCACGGCCCACTGATTTCTGCATTGTCTGTGGTTCCTTTTATGGAACAGCGACAGAACTGAGCAGTTGCAACATATTTACACTGGGCTGAGCGCAGTGACTCACACCTGTAATCCCAGTGCTTTGGGAGGCTGATGTGGGAGGATCCCTTGAGCCCAGGAGTTTGAGACCAGCCTGGGCAACATAGTGAGACCCCATCTCTACCAAATATTTTTTTAAATTAGCCAAGTGTTGTGGCGTGTGCCTGTAGTCCTAGCAACTTGGGAGGCTGAGGCAGTAGGATCCCTTGAGCCGAGGAGTTGGAGGCTACAGTGAACTAGGATGGCACCACTGCTCTCCAGGCTGGGTGGTGATAAGACTGTGTCTGTAAAAGGAGAGAAAAAGGGCTGGAACGGTGGCTCACGCCTGTTATCCCAGCACTTTGGGAGGCTGAGGCGGGTAGATCACAAGGTCAGGAGTTTGAGACCATCCTGGCTAACACAGTGAAACCCCACTCTACTAAAAATATAAAAATTAGCTGGACATGGTGGCATGTGCTTGTATTCCCGGCTACTCGGGAGGCTGAGGTAGGAGAATCCCTTAAACCTGGGAGGCAGAGGTTGCAGTGAGCCAAGATCGTGCCACTGCACTCCAGCCTGGCAACAGAGCAAGACTCCATCTCAAAAAAGAGAGAAAAAAACAGTTCCTAGACTGGAGCAGGTGTTTGCAATAATGTGTCCAACAAAGGATGCCCCGGGGAGGGAAGTGGGCAAAAGATGGGAAGAGGAGCTGTGAAACGGTGCTTGGCTTCTCTGCACAACAGGCTTAGCCTGGCTTGTCCTAAGCCCTCCTTGCTGTCCCTGTTGCCAAGTGCAGCAGCAGGTCCCAAGGTGCACACACCAGCCATGCCCAGTTCCCACTGCTGGGCATGTGGGCTGTGCACACTCAGGAACGTGTGTTTGGTTTGCGGTTCTCCAGTGAAATAGAAATGGAGTTTTGCCACATTGCCCAGGGTGGTCTCAAACTCCTGGGCTCAAGCAAGTCCTCCTGCTTTGGCCTTCCAGAGTGCTGAGATTTCAGGCACAGGCCACCGCACCCGGCCTACAACTGGCATTTCTAAAATAAAATTGCATAGTGCACCGCTTTTCACAGAAGAGACGATCGCGTTAGGGCCGTTGTGTCGCTCTTGCCTATGCTGTGTGTCCCTCTTCACAGCATAGAGGCAGCTCTTGCTGTGCTTTACGGTGCAACAGGTGTAAGGTGGATATGGCCATCATGAAGAGAGGGGAGAGCTGTGTGCTTAGAAATTCCGCGGAGCGGAGAATAGGACATGCTGGCTTAGGAGGGGGAAGAGGTAGGTACAGGCCTGCTCTGCCTGAGCTGCAGGTTGGACACACGTTTCCTGACTCAAAGGGGATTCACGTATTTCTCCAGGGCCACAGAGCGGCAGGTGCATCTGTAGAAAAGAACATGAGGGCAAAGTGTGGTGGCTCATAATCCCAGCACTTAGGGAGGCCAAGGCGGGCGAATCACCTGAACTCAGGAATTTGAGAACAACTCGACCAACATGGAGAAACCCCGTCTCTACTAAAAATAAAAAATCAGCCTTGCATGGTAGCACAGGTCTGTAATCCCAGCTACTCAGAAGGGTGAGGCAGGAGAATCACTTGAACCCGGGAGGTGGAGGTTGCAGAGAGTCGAGATCAGGCCATTGCAGTCCAGTCTGGGCAACAAGAGAACATGAGGAAAGCAGCAGTGCTGATGAGGCAGCCGGAGTTGTCATGACCCAAGCTCAGCTCCCCCTTAGTGGTGCCATTGGCCACTTTCAGGCTTCATCTGCCTGCTGGCTCCCTGCTTGGGGACATTCCCTGGCTAGGCCCTTCCTCTGGGCCAAAGTAGAGAGGAGAGTGCATTTGCCATGCGTTCTCATTTTCCCAGCCTGCAGACTGGGTTCCATCAGAACAAGGTCAGCTCTCAGAGCTTCTGTCCCCACCCACCATGTCCTCCTGAGCCAGGCTCAGGTATGGGCATAACCTGGTAAGAGCTGGGAGCAGGTACATGAGGCCTGGCAGCATCTCATCACCACCCGCTGTGCTGAGTGCACCAGGGCATTTCCTGTGGGGCTGAGGGAGTTAGATCAGTCTTCAGCGAGGACAGAGTAGAGATCCAGATGCATCCCAGGCCGGGTGCTGTGGCTTCTCCCTATAATCCCAGCACCTTCAAAGGCTTAGGAGGGAGGATTGCTTGAGGCCAGAGGTTTGAGACCAGCCTCGGCAAAATAGTGAGACTCATGTTTGTACAAAAAATTTTAGCGGTGTGTGATGGTCCCAGCTACTCAAGAGGCTATGCTAGGAAGCTCGCTTGAGCCCAGGAGGTTGAGGCTGCGGTGAGCCACGATTGCACCACTGCACTCCAGCCTGAACAACAGAGCACGACCCTGTCTCAAAAACAAATGCATGACGGGCCTGTGTGTGTGGTTGTCTCTGGGGAATGTTCCAGAAGCCACAGAAAGCACGTATGCAAGAAATAGCTCCTGAGCCGAGTTTGAATTTCTCATCCTCTCTGTTCTCAGTGTGGGGTCCTGCTGAGATGGGGTGGGGGCCCCTGGGTGGGTGGGCGGGCCCGGAGGTGACACCCGCCGGTTCTGCCTTGCAGCAGCAGTGGACGGCAGCTGAGCGAGGTCTTCATCCAGCTGCCCTCTCGAAAGGAGCTGCCCGAGTACTACGAGCTCATCCGCAAGCCCGTGGACTTCAAGAAGATAAAGGTAACCCTGACGTGCTTCTGCGCAGGGGGGAGTCTGACGTAGGGGCACCCCCATCTGAGCACGGTGGTATATGGGAAGAATGACCAGAAACCACCTGGGCAGGGCCTTGGGCTACCCGGTTAGGGACCTGTTCATGGGCTTTTGGGGTTCCTTGTGGTGGTTGGGGGTGTCCCGAGGGATGTCAGTGGGCCGTTGGTGTTGGCTGCTCCTTCGAGGTCACTCATTCAGTGCTGGGCCTCGGTCATGCAATTCCTGTGTCTGGTGAGCCATGTTACCAAGGCTGGAGCTTCAGCCACATACTCATAGGCGTGAGGAATCCTAGCCCTCGGGGTTCTCAGCACACAGCAGGGACTGCAAGAAGGGGAGGTGGGGGTCCAGAGGTAAGGCCTGCTCTTCTCACCCCTTGCAGGAGCGCATCCGCAACCACAAGTACCGCAGCCTCAACGACCTGGAGAAGGACGTCATGCTGCTGTGCCAGAACGCGCAGACCTTCAACCTGGAGGGCTCCCTGGTAAGGGCACCACGTGGAGGTGGGGATGGGTTACTCCCACAGCTGGGCTTCGAACCAACCCACCCCTCCGTCCCTTCTGAATTGACGGGTTAAAAACAATTCCCTGGCTAAGCGTGGTGGCTCACATCTATAATCCCAGCACTTTGGGAGGCCCAGGCAGGTGGATCACCTGAGGTTAGGAGTTCAAGATCAGCTTGGCCAACATGGTGAAACCCCATCTCTACTAAAAATACAAAAATTAGCTGGGCATGGTGGCGGGGGCCTGTAATCCCGACTGCTTGGGAGGCTGAGGCAGGAGAATCGCTTGAGTCCCGGAGGCGGAAGTTGCAGTGAGCCAAGGTCATGCTGTTGAACTCCAGCCTGGACACCGAGAGTGAAAAACACCAACCAAAAAAAGAACCACACAATTCCTGCAAGGTGTGGTGGTTCATGCCGGTAATCCCCGCACTTTGGGAGTCTGAGGCGGGAGGATCACATGAGACCAGGAGTTCAAGACCAGCCTGGGAAACATAGCAAGCCCCTGTCTCAAAAAAATTTTTTTTTAATTTCTAACAATTTGGGATATTTTAGTAATTACAAAAACAATGAGTATTTACTGAAGAAAATAAAGATAGGCGCAACAGAAGAAGTAGACGCAGAGTCCTCTGTCTGTTGGAATTTTATTTTAAATTTCCTTGGGGCATACTGTTTTCAAAGGAACGCTATGGATGTGTTCTTTCCCGTGATGGAAGTGACGCACACACACACACAGCCTGAGCTTGGCAAAGTTTTCTTAGTGTGTTTGGGATCGATACCCCTCAGAAAAAAAGATTTGACTTTGATGAGTTTGGGGAAGATGCTGGCTTCCACACGGAGTTTTTTGTTTTTTTTTGTTTTTTTTTTTTTTTAAAAAAACACAGAGTCTTACTCTGTCGCCTGGGCTGGAGTGCAGTGGCATGATCTTGGCTCACTGCAACCTCAGCCTCCTGGGTTCAAGCAATTCTCCTGCCTCAGCCTCCCGAGTAGTTGGAACTACAGGCACCACTACGACACCCAGCTAATTTTTGCATTTTTAGTAGAGATGGGGTTTTACCATGTTGGCCAGGATGCTCTTGATCTCTTGACCTCCTGATCCTCCCGCCTGGGCTGGGATTAGAGGTGTGGGCCACCTCGCCCAGCCCTAGGGGCATGCTTTTCTAATGTTATTGCAGACCTTCTCAGAGCTTCTGCAGGAGAACGAAGGCACCTGCAGCCAGTCCCAAACCAGTGTGCCTGACCGTTGATCCTGGAGCACTGCAGAAGCCTGATGCTTTCTGGGGCACCTGTGCAGGACGATTATGGAGAGGGCCCTCCACCCTGGGTGGGCTGAAGCCCCGGCCCACTGAGAATTGTACTGGCCACTGATCAGCTGTCCAGGGGCAAGACAGGGCTGGTGCTGGGGCCAGGCAGGCAGCCCTCCCATCGGGCCCATCCACTCAAGCCCCTGGTGTCTCCACCCAGATCTATGAAGACTCCATCGTCCTGCAGTCGGTCTTCACCAGCGTACGGCAGAAAATTGAGAAGGAAGATGACAGCGAAGGCGAGGAGAGTGAGGAGGAGGAAGAGGGCGAGGAGGAAGGCTCCGAATCTGAGTGTGAGTCCCGGGTGGGTTCACGATGCCAGGGTTTACGCCGGTCTGAGAGCCCTGAAGGCCCCAGCTGTTCACAGCCCTCCCAGCTTCCAGATGCCCCTTGCTATGAGGGTGCTGTGTTCCCAGAGCTCACAGCTCCCCTTCCCTCCTGGTCCCCTCCAGCTCGATCTGTCAAAGTGAAGATCAAGCTTGGCCGGAAGGAGAAGACACAGGACCGGCTGAAGGGCAGCCGGCGGCGGCCGAGCCGAGGATCCCGAGCCAAGCCGGTCGTAAGTGACGACGACAGTGAGGAGGAACAAGAGGAGGTGAGGCCGGGCCCCAGGGCAGGCAGAGCAGGCAGGGGTGTCGGGCAGCAGGAGGCAGCCCAGGGTCCTGACGGGATGGCCCTGTGGGGCGATACTCCCACTCTGCAGATGGGGAAACTGAGGCTTCACCTTCCATGGCTGGCCCCTGGTCACACAGCAAGTACATGGCAGAGCTGCCACTCAAGCCCAGGCCTGTGTGACCCTAAAACCAGCTGTCAGTACCTGTGGGCGTCTGGGGACTGGGGGACCTGAGGGCTCAGGACGGGCAGGAGGTGGGCCCAGGGCACCAGGGCTTCTGGGCTGAGGCTGGGCAGGCCAGGGCTTGATTGGGGTCAGGTAGGAGGTGCCAGGATTGGGGACCCACCAGGCAGTGCCCCATCTCCTTAGTGGTGCACAGTGGAAAGTTTCTGGGGGGCAGTGGGGGACCCTGAACAGATACATTTACTGGCTTTTTTTGAGACAGAGTGTCGCTCTGTTGCCAGGCTGGCATGCAGTGGCATCATTTCAGCTCACTGCAACCTCTACCTCCTGGCTTCAAGTGATTCTCCTGCCTCAGCCTCCCAAGGAGCTGTGACTACAGGCACGTACCACCATGCCCCATGATTTTTCTGTATTTTAGTAGAGATGGGGTTTCACCATTTGGCCAGGATGGTCTCGATCTCCTGACCTCGTGATCCACCCGCCTCGGCCTCCCAAAGTGCTGGGATTACAGGCGTGAGCCACTGCGCCTGGCCCACTTGCTAGCTGTAAATAAGCTACATCATCTCTTCCTGGCTATGGGACCTGGCAGGTCACTTTGCTTCTGAAAGCTTCAGTTTCCTCTTAGTAAAGCAAGGAGGCTGCATGGATTATGGGGGCTGCCCCCGCTCAGGGCCTGGCTCCCACCGAAGCCTGATGAATGCCATTTTGTCATTACAGAAGCAGGAAATTTCTGTGCCTGGGAATTAGTCTGACAAAACAGGCACGTGAACTTTGAGGACATTCAGGAAGTCCTCATGGAGAAGGGAGGCCCATGTGCCAGACAGGAGGGTCTGGGCTGTGGTGGTATCTCTCTTGCCCAACCCAGAGCAGCGTGTTTTATGGCCCATGCCAGGCTGTTTAAAAAGGCTTTATGAGGCCAGGCCTGGTGGCTCACACCTGTTAATCCCAGCACTTCGAGAAGCTGAGGCAGGAGGATTACTTGAGCCTGGGAGGTAGAGGCTGTAGAGAGCCGTAATCGCACCACTGCACTTCAGCCTGGGCAACAGAGCAAGACCCTGTCTAAAAAAAATTTTTTTTTTTTTTTTTTTTTTTTGAGATGGAATTTCACTCTTGTTACCCAGGCTGGAGTGCAATGGTGCGATCTCGGCTCACTGCAACCTCCGCCTCCTGGGTTCAGGCAATTCTCCTGCCTCAGCCTCCTTAGTAGCTGGGATTACAGGCACGCGCCACCATGCCCAGCTAATGTTTTTTTGTATTTTTAGTAGAGACGGGGTTTCACCATGTTGACCAGGATGGTCTTGATCTCTTGACCTCGTGATCCACCCGCCTCGGCCTCCCAGAGTGCTGGGATTACAGGCTTGAGCCACCGTGCCTGGCAAAAAAAAATTTTTTTAATAAAAATAAAAGGACTGGGTACGGTGGCTCATGCTTGTAATCCCAACACTTTGGGAGGCCAAGGCGGGTGAATCACAAGGTCAGGAATTCAGAACCAGCTTGATCAGAACCAGCTTGAACTATATCGTGAAACCCTGTCTCTACTAAAAAGACAAAAATTAGCCAGGTGTGGTGGCATGTGCTTGTAATCCCAGATACTCAGGAGGCTGGGGAAGGACAATTGCTTGAACCCAGGAGGCAGAGGTTGTGGTAAGCCAAGATTGCACCACTGCATTCTGTCTCAAAAAAAAAAAAAAAAAAATTATATGAAAGCGCAAAGATTTTTCACAGTCAGGAAGAGCCAAATGTTATGTTTTTGGAAGCTGTAGGTCAGGGGCCCAAGGCCAGGCAAGTGACATAGGATGGAGCAGGGAAGGCACGTGGAGCCTCACAGGTCCAGAGAGAGTCTCGTGTGGGCACAGGGACTGCTCCTCCAAGGTTCCCTGGCAGGGGCAACCAACACACACTCTCTCCTGTCTCCTCTCCAGGACCGCTCAGGAAGTGGCAGTGAGGAAGACTGAACCCCGACATTCCAGTCTCGACCCCGAGCCCCTCGTTCCAGAGCCAAGATGGCGTAGGCCTTAGCAGTAACGGGTAGCAACAGACGTAGTTTCAGACTTGGGATAAAACTGTATAAACAAAAGAATCTTCCATATTTATACGGCAGAGAAGCTGTAGGACTGTTTGTGACTCGCCCCGTCCTGGCATCAGTAGCGTTTGTAACAGCATTAACTGTCTAAAGAGAGAGAGAGAGAATTCTGAATTGGGAACACACGATACCTGTTTTTCTTTTCCTTTCCTGGCAGTACTGTCGCGCCGCAGTTTGGAGTCACTGTAGTTCAGCGTGGATGCATGTGCGTCACCGTCCACTCCTCGTACTGTATTTTACTGGACAGGTCAGACTCGCTGGAGTCCAGCGAGGGTATGTCAGTGTCACTGGATGTCAATCAGTAATAAATTAAACCAACAACAAAACGCACAGCCTGCAGGTGGACTCATGCCTGGCTCCCAGGGTTTCTGCCAGCAGTAGTGGTGGGGCCACCTCGTGTCCAGGTCCCCGTCCTCCCAGCACCAGAATCCATGGGGCCCGTTTCACAGAGGAGGATCCTGAAGACGCGGCAGGGGAAGAGGACTTACCTGGCTACGCAGGTGGCCTTTGCTGCTGCAGCTCTCCAGCGTGTGTTCACCTGGGTCCTGCAGTGCGGGGAGCAGGCAGCTCCATCCCTTCCCTGCCTGTGGCGAAGGCTGGGTTGAGGAGACCATCACAGAAACGGGCAGACGTCACATAGAACTCTCGGTCAGGCCCATGACACAGGAAGCGCAGGGCATAATGGGAATCCCGGTGGTCAGGGAGGGCTTCTAAATCCAGAAAATAATTTGAGGTTTTTTTTTTTTGAGACGAAGTCTGCGTCACCCAGGCTAGAATGTAGAGGCATGATCTCAGCTCACTGCAACCTCTGCCTCCCAGGTTCAAGCCATTATCCTGCCTCAGCCTCCTGAGGAGCTGGCATTACAGGCCATCATGCCCAGCTAATTTGTATCTTTAGTAGAGACAGGCTTTCATTATGTTGGCCAGGCTGACCTTAAGTGATCCACCCGCCTTGGCCTCCCAAAGTGCAGAGAATAACCTGGCCATTAATTTTTGTGTTTTTAGTAGAGGCGGGGTATCACCATGTCACCCGGGCTGGTCTCGAACTCCTGAGCTCAACCAATCCTCCTACCTCACCCTGTTTTTTAAATCAAGACAGGGTATTGCTCTGTTGCCCAGGCTGGAGTGCAGTAGCACAGTCATAGTTCACTACAGCCTCAGTTCAGAGCTCAGATAATCCTCCCTCTGCAGCCTCCACAGTCTCTGGGTCCACAGAAGTGTGCCACCAAGCCCACCTTGCATCTATTTTTAATAGCTGCTTTGGCCGGGCATGGTGGCTCAAGCCTGTAATCCCAGCACTTTGGGAGGCCGAGGCGGGTGGATCACGAGGTCAAGAGATCGAGACCATCCTGGTCAACATGGTGAAACCCCGTCTCTACT